ACAAAGTTTTCTTTTTGTTAAATGTAGAAATATACGATTAAGAGATATATATAGTCATAGTGATGATAAATGTAATATTGGGTCTACTCTGTAAGTCGCTTTGGAGAAAAGCGTCCGCCAAATGCATAAACATAAACATAAACATAAACATAAACATATATTCTGTCTTCAGCTTTAAACAATAAAGGAAAAGCAAAGTTAAAGAAACAAAAAGCAGCCTACTGTGACTCCACCATGGGAGAGTCTGCACTCTGAAATGTATCAAAGCAAGATGTTAGAGATTTAAATAAGGATTACATAGGAAGAAAAATACTTACAGGACAAAGCGTTGCAAAAGCATAAAAGGATTTAAATGGAGACGCGCACAGAAAAATAATAAACACAGAAAGAACACATAAACTTAAAACACAAAATAAAAAACTGAAATGAAAAGATATAAAGAACACAGAAGCTAAACCACAGTAATAAAAAAAGAAAGAAAATAATAATATTGACACTAAAAATAGAGTACAAAATACAGAAAGTGGAAAACATAAACTAAAACAGAGTAATAGAATAGGTACATTTATAACACAGAGTAGAATAAAGAAACAACAACAAAATAGTAGAATACAGACATTAAAACGGAGAACGTAGAATCCTGAGCCATGGTTCTGCTCCAGGTTTCTGCCTGTTAAAGGAAGTTTTTCCTTGCCTGTGTCGCCTAGTGCTGCTCATGGTGGGAATTGTTGGGTTTCTGTAGTTAACTTCAGAGTAGGTCTGACCTGCTCTGTTTGGAAAGCTGTGAGACAACTGTTGTTGTGATGTGGAGCTATAGAAATAACATTGAATTTAATTTAATCCAAAAGCCTGAAACACAGAAAGTGCAAAGTAGAACACAGAAACAGAAAAAACTAAACCTAGCCTCATCAGCCAACATTAGGTTTGTCACGATACTAAAATTTTCAACTGGATACCGATACTCAGGAAAATACTCGATACCATTTTTGATACCACAAGGATAAAAACAAAGACCCCAAAATTTAACTGAATTGTGTCTTTCATTTCAAACTGACCTGTTACTGATGTTATCCTGACTGGTGGCCCACATTAATGACGCTAACCCTAACCCTAATCCTAACTCTAACCCTAACCCTAACCCTAATCCTAACTCTAACCCTAACCCTGAACCTGACCCTAACCTTAACCCTCCACCCTTCATAATTATGGATAGAGTTTAAGTGTTTGAAAGATTCATTTCACTATTTTTAAATTAATGTCTATATTGCCATGAGGCAATTAGAATTTTCTTGCCTGGGATCTTCCTATTGGTGACCTAATAAAAATGGCCGACTTGGATGTGGGCGGAGTTGGATGTGTACTTGATTAATGGTAGCATTTTGTTATTAGCCATTAGCCGCAGCTAGCAAGGCTAATGTCTTGTTAATGATCATAAACGTAAATAAATAGATAACATTTTAATATCGATACTTTTTCAAGTATCGATACTTTTGACAACCCTAGGCAACATTAACAAAGTCAGGTATCTAGACAGAAGTATTTGAGCTCCACAGTCTGATTCTGTTTCCTTCTAAGGTATGTGTCCTTAAGACACTTAAGATAAGATAAGAATAAAATAAAAATAACTATAGTGTTACTGTAGGCGGCTACAGATTTGTTTGACATTTTTGGTTGGTGGTGTGCCTCGAGATTTTTTCAATGAAAAAATATACAGTGGGGGAAATAAGTGTTTGACCCCTTGCTGATTTTGCAGGTTTGCCCACTTACAAAGAATGCAACGATCTATAACTTTAATCATATGTACATTCTAACAGTGAAAGACAGAATCCCAAAGAAAATTCCAGAAAATCACATCAAATGAATTTACAAAAATTGATAACCATCTGATCAGGAAAAATAAGCATTCTTTGTAAGTGGGCAAACCTGCAAAATCAGCAAGGGGTCAAACACTTATTTACCCCACTGTAAATACTCTCAAATACTGTCTAGCTTCCTGACTATTTTATGTTGACTGATGAGGCTAGGTTTAGTTTTTTCAGTTTCTGTGTTCTACTTTGCACTTTCTGTGTTTCAGGTTTTTGGATTCGATTCAATTCATATTTATTTCTATAGCGCCACATCTCAACAACAGTTATCTTTCCAAACAGAGCAGGTCAGACCTACTCTGAAGTTAACTACAGAAACCCAACAATTCCCACCATGAGTAAGCACTAGGCGACACAGGGAGGGAAAAACTTCCTTTTAACAGTTAGAAACCTCCGTTTCACTGTCTGTATTCTACAATTTTTTTGTTGTTTCTGTGCTCTACTCTGAATTAAATGTACCAATTCTACTACTCTTTTTTAGTTTACGTTTTCCACTTTCTGTATTTTGTACTCTATTTTTAAGGCCAATATATATAAGTCATTCTCCTTCTGTTTCCTCCTCAGGTATGTGTCCTCAGGTCCCTGTTCTGCTTGCGCCTCAAAGATAACCGAGGTCCTAAAGTCCAGGAAAAACGTGCGTCTGACCATCTTTGCGGCGCGCCTCTTGGACTGGGAGGATCCTGAGCAGCAGGAGGCCCTCAGGGCCCTTAATGCTGCCGGGTGTAAACTCAGGGCCATGAAGCCTCTGGACTTCTCCTACACCTGGGACACGTTTGTGGAGACGGACGAGGAGCCTTTGAACCTGTGGGAGGACTGCAAAGAAAACTATGAATATTACCAGGAAAAGCTGGCTGAGATTCTGCAGTAGCGGCTGTAAGTGCTGCGTGGAAACTGTGGCAAATCAAGAAGAAATTAGGGTTCCTTTCACAGAAGAAATATGATTGCAGTCCTGTAAATATCTTTAAGAAACACCACAACTGATGGACATTAAAGCAACCGTGATCTGTCTGGTTTTTTGGTTTT